TGTGTATATTGTGGGGTTTTGTTTATCTTTTATTAAGAGTCTGTGGAGCAACAAAAACGAGGAATTAAGACCAAAGTGTTGCAGTTTTATTTTGAATAGACCATAAGTGAATGATTTAGATGTGAAAAACAAGTATTTAAAAGCATGATATGATACCTTTAAACAATACTCCAGTTTCCTCCCACAGTTGGAGCCCCAGCTCTCACGGTGACCCCTGAAGATAGAAACCAGCTTGTTGTGATCAGGAAAGGAAAAGTGGTTGAAAATTGATTGACTGATGGATGGATGGATGGATGGATGAATGGATGGATGGATGGATGGATGGATGGATGGATGGATGGATGGATGGATGGATGGATGTTCCACACTTACTGCATCAAAGATGAGTTGACACTCCTGGATGTGCTACAGCTACCTGCTACTACTACTGCTGCTGCTGTGTCTGTTACTAAGTACAGTGTTTATAATGACTGTGAGAACAAACTGTTAACAGAAAGAGACCAGCTGCTGACTCATCAGTTCTGTCTGAATCAAACTGAGCTCAGGTTTTTCTACAGCAACTAAAAGCCCAGCTGCTCCTTGCACGAACAATGTGCCTCTTAAAAATGACAGAACTGTCCCTTTAAGTGACATGGCTAAAGGAGGTTTGTTTCAGTACAGATATTTCAGAGGAACAGCATCTATACTGTGAGAACCTCCTATGGAGAATCTGTGGCTACATGAGCTAAACCGACCATATGTGCTCCTGTAGAGGCAGTCGAGTGTAAAATGGCTCATAAGGATCAGCTATAAACAGCAGTGTGTTCTGTACACTCTAACTGAGCCTAATTATCTCTGTAACTCACAACGTTCATTAATCGGACTGCATGATGGGCTCACTGCAATCAGCTGAGATTGTTTTTATTTTTTTTACGTTTTCTCTTGGCGCTTTTAAAAACATCGACCACATGTAAGAAACAAGCAGCTTGCAGGTTGTTTGCTGCGGTTTTGATACGCGGCAGATCACAGCCACACGACACCCCGAGCTGCTTGTTTTAGATGATTTAGCTCCACAAAGTTGAGCAATTAATCTGAAGAAATCCCGTCCCATCTGGAGGTTCATTAAATCTGTGGGTGTGTTCTCCTCCCGTTTCTATCAGCTCCACTGATACGTGTTACTACAGGACACTTTTAGCTCCTAACCTACGGCTGCTCTCCCACTCTGTGGTAATTTGACATCTYTGCTGCAGATTTTGATTCTGTTTGCGTGAATGAAACCATGARGAAGTGATTGTAGAAAGGAGAGCTTTAATGTAGGGCCTGCGAGGTACCAGCAAAAGCTATGAGCAGCTCCAGCCATGTCACTTAGGTCCCTCTGCAGGATGTGTGTGTGTGTGCACGTGTCAAACAAGCCTAACTGAACTGATGTCTCCCCATCCCCTCCCTGCAACAGATGATGGTCAATAGGACTACTGAGGTATACACACCCTCCTTCTCTTCAGCACAGATCCTCTTTGGTCTCTGTCCTCTGTCTTCTCCACCTTTTCATTCTCCCACACCTCTCTGCCTTTCTGTAAATCAACAGTCTTTTGCTTCATTTCCTCACAGTTTCAGTTGGTTTGGTTCTGATGCACCAAGCATGTCTGACAGGAAGTTTCTGCACAGTTCTTTATATTATTTATGTTCGTTTGAAGCCTTTGTTGTCCGGTCTGCGGCTGCCGTGTTTCACCTTGTGTGCAATCCTAAACATCACCATGACGACCATGTTGTGCTCAGCACCTCATAATCAACTGCACCTTCCTCCTGTAATGTTTTCAGTTGATGTGCTGATGCTGTTTGATTAAAGCTGTGAAATGTTCTGTTTGTCTTTGTTCAGTTCTGCTGGTGCTGCATGGGTTCAATAGATGATTTTATCACAGTGTATTGCTCTGCGTTAATGGATGACCAAAGCTACCAAAATAAAACCAAACAGTGTTTACCTTCCTGTTAGAGGGAGAAAACAGGATTCAAACCTTGCTGCTGTCATCAGATCTTTACTGTAACAGTTAAGAGACCAAACAAACCCAGACTGTGTGAGAGGAAGGACAGGACTTCTGTTCTAATCCTGTAAAAACAGCATTTACATGAAGGTTTACTGTGGATTACAACAATCTGCAAACCTCTCCATGGTCCTGGTCCATCAGGTCTCTATGACCCTGGTCAATCAGGACACCATGACTCTGGTCCATCAGGTCACCATGATCCTGGTCCTTCAGGTCCCCATGACGCTGGTCCGTCATGTCACCATGGTCCTGGTCCATCAGGTCACCATGATCCTGGTCAATCAGGACACCATGACCCTGGTCAATCAGGTCACCATGACGCTGGTCCATCAGGTCACCATGACCCTGGTCCTTCAGGTCACCATGACGCTGGTCCATCAGGTCTCCATGACTCTGGTCCGTCAGGTCACCATGACCCTGGTCCATCAGGTCTCCATGACTCTGGTCCGTCAGGTCACCATGACCCTGGTCCATCAGGACTCCATGACCCTGGTCCATCAGGTCTCTATGACCCTGGTCCATTAGGTCTCATGATCCTGGTCCATCAGGTCACCATGGTCCTGGTCGGTCAGGTCACCATGACCCTGGTCCATCAGGTCACCATGGTCCTGGTCCGTCAGGTCACCATGGTCCTGGTCCATCAGGTCACCATGGTCCTGGTC